CTTAGAAAATCTCCATTTACACTGGTTATCCTAACATAATTATAAGCAAAACCTTTCTCACTTAAAATTGTCCTGATTGGGGCAATAAACAGCATTGCCATATTATAGTTTTCCGTAGTTCCACACAATCATCCACCAGTCTCTTTCTAGGTAATTTTCTCAAGCCTCTTTCCTGTCAATCAGAAGGCACCTGGGGCCAGCCTAGGCCGTACATGAATGAATGAATGAATGAGCGTGAAGCTAGCCAGAAACATTCTTCATTGCCTCTTACTTTGCATCAAAGGCAATTTCATTTTTCAGTTGAGGACTCCTCTTGGCTTGGCATGTGTGCCCACGGAGAGAATCTCGACCTAGGTCCTCTACAAAGTGCCTGTGTTCCCTCTCATGATGGGATACTAACATCACAAGTCTCCCAAACTCCCAGATGCTTCTTGCAAAGTAACTCTTGCAAAAAAGTCTGCCTTTGCTTTGTATCCCCTGAAGGGAGTCATTTTCCTGATTGTGCCTGCTTGTTTTTAATTTATTCATCCCATTCTTTCCTTTGTATCCTCTACCCTAGCTTCATCAGTCCTACTCACACCTGTCAGGCTTTTCTTTCCAGAGGGGTGGGAGAATACAATGTGTCTTCAGTGACTGCTGGGTATGGGACCAAGGAGGTAGATCTCTGGCTCTGCCTGTCACTGTCCTCCACCTCTGACTTTAGTATTGCGCAGCAGACTCCAGTCTAGGATGGCACTATTTGAAGAGGAGATTCAGTGGTGTGGTGGTTTGAATGGGAAGGTTTAGATGGTGCAATCCCGCTGGAGAAAGTGTCACCAGGGTTGGACTTTGAGACCTTCTCCAGCCGCTTCTGCTCCACTCATACTGCTTCATGCTCATGTTTCAAGATCTGAGCTCTCAACTCCCCACCCCTTCCCATGCTCACTCCCTGCCTGCTGTCACTGTTCCCTGCTCTGTTGGACTCCTCTTAGCCCCCGGGGAACTGTAAGCCCAAATTGACTCTTCTCTAAGTTGCTTCTGGTCGTGGTGTTTTATCCCAGCAACAGAAAGTAACGAAACAAGTGGCTATTAAGAAAGATCCTTGTCTCATTTTGGATCCCCCAAAAGTGAAACCTGAGACAAGGCTTCTACTGTGGCCACTTCATTCAGAAGGCAGCCAGGCTACTTCTGGAGAAGTATCAGCACTCACTAGATCATAAACCCAGAGAGGAGACAGGAAATGGTGGGAATCCCAGTCTCAGGAATATCCCACCCCAAAGGAACGGTGAGGGGCTGTGTGTTCTCCAGCACTCCTTGTTTGCCTTGTGCTCTGCCTCGTGTGTGGATGCAAAGCTTTCTAGCTTTGGAGGAGAGCCTTTGGCCAGCGAGATACCCCAGAGCACCTACGAATGTGGTGTTCACTGTAAAGGAGGCTCCCTGGGAAAACTCAGGACACTGATGGATTCTGCACCATCACTGGCCTGATGTAAATACTTTGCCTCACAGGTTTTCCTGATCTTTTCTCACCCTCTGTTTTCATCTCATTTCCTGAGTTAACTTGTTTATGCTCCTAGTCTTAGAGGCCCCAGGTAGTTGGCCTTGGTGAGTAAGTACTCATGCCACTCAGGAGGGAAAGTCCCTGAAATTCAACCTAGTTTGTGTCTCGAGCGTATATTGAGTATCAGTTGTGAGGTGCCATGGGAAGACCTGGGGATTTAATAGTAATGGAAACCGACAGGATCCTTGATCTTATAGGATTAGAGATGCATAGAAAATACTAGTACCTATTCATGGTTTGTCTGCCCTTTCCACTTATTGCATTGATTTCTCATGACAAGAATTCCACAGGGATGGTCTTCTAACATGCCAAGTAGGGGAATGGGACTCTGCGAGAGGAAGCAACCAGTCAAAGACACACAGTGAGTTAGCAGCTGAGACCAGCTTCAGGTCTCCTTGCCTCCTATCTAATATGCACAGGGACTGCTCACACCAATCTGAGTCATCTTCCATGAGATGGGATGCTCTTGCCGATGGGGACTGTGATGACTGACTTGGGTTGTCAACTTGACACACCCGAGAAGAGGGACCCTCAACTGAAGGATCGCCTCCATCAGATTGGCTTGAGGCCACTTCCGTGGGGGTATTTTCTCCACTGTTAACTGATGGAGGAGGCCCCGCCACAAAAGTGGTGCCATCCCTGAGAGGGGTGGCATCCCCAGGCAGGTGGTGTTAGGCCAATGTGAAAAAGAAGTAGCTGAGCAAGCTGGGGGCAGAGAGAGAGTCAGCAGCATCCCTCTGTGGTTTCTGCTTCAAATGTCTGCCCTAACTTCCCTCCCAAAGTTGCTTTTGTTTGGAGTGTTTTATCACAGCACAGAAGTCATTCTAGAATAGGTGCTCTCTTTTAAAACAGCATCATAATGAAGTGCTTGGTTATGACATGTGCTGAAAGACAGGCTGCGTAGACAAGCACATCAATGGAAATCTGACATGTAATAAAGGATTTTTACTAAAGTATGAGTGCTGGGATGTCGCTGGAAAGCATACAAGAGCTTGCTGTAAGGGGCTCACTGGCTAGCCAGCTCAGCCTCCCTGCTGAATCTAGACCAATGAGAGACCATGTCTCAAAACCACAAAATAGATGGTGCCTTGTGGAACAACCCAAGGTTCTTCTCTGGACTCCATCCATGCATATGCACCACCCCACACATGCACAAAAGCGCAGCCATACACATGAGAATATAAAGCCACAGATACACACGAAAAATAGGCAGAGAGACTACACAGTATATACATGTGTGCTGCCTGTCTCTTAACCCATGACTCCTCATGCTTCAGGACGCTGCTAGCAAAGCTATTACCCGATGTCAACTCTGGATCCTTCACATCTAGAACCATGAGTTAAACAAACCTCTCTTCTTTACAAAACAACCTGACTCTGCTATTTCATTACTGCAGGGGAAACAGACTATCACTGGTCTCAAAATCTATTAAAGATGTGGAGATTAGTCCCTTGGCAAGTAGAGCCCTTGACTCTGTGGGAAGGTAGTGTAGGCGTATGTCAGTGGCCAAGGATATCCAGAGGGACAGGGCTTGTCATAACTCAGCTCTGCCCATTCCAAGTTCCTCTGTTTTCTATGAGTCATAGAAAGTATTTGCTACAAGAGATACATCTTTGGCACAATAACAGTTTAAAACGAGAAGTATATCGATGGCTTTTAATTTCCAGTAGAAACAGAACTGCTATGGTCTAGGACACCCTCACCTCTTGTGGAGACCATACCTTCCCCTTAGTGGGTCTCAATGCTCCCACTACCATCTTCTATTCTGTTTCCACAGATTATTTCCTACCATGAAGCCGGGGTATTCTTTGACATATGCACACTGCCCCGGGAGAGCTTCCGGGGTCAGTCATTGCAGACTGTGATCAAATCCCCACTCCCCTATGGGCCTCCAAGACAGACGACCTCCAAGATCTTGCAGAGGTCCTCTGGCCATGCTCTCCCTGGCTCTCTGTGTTACAGTCCTCTGGGTTGTGCTCCTCACTCCATCCTCCCCACCTCAGGCTTTTGAACACACATCTCTACCAAGAAACCATGGACCTGGTCTTTCTGTGGATGTCCTTAGTCTTCTGGTTTCCCCTTAGATGTCACATGACAACCTTCTCCCTCTGACCCCTCCAGATTGGACCCTTTGCTCTGTTTCTCAGGTCACTGTGTTTCTGTTTCTGTGTCTGACATACAGTCATTGTCAGACCCTGAAATTTTCTTGTTATTTAGTTGCATAAATGCCCCCCCCACACCAGAAGTCAAGCTGGATTCTTTGCTAGTTGCGGCTGTGTTTACCCAGTCCTGATGGGACTGTGGCATAAAACAGGCATTCCATTTTTTACCTGATGAGTAAATTACTAAGGCAATAGATGCTGGCATTGAGATCTCTCATTTAAGCAAGCAGCCATGTTCCAACTCCAGCTTCAACAAGAAATAGAAGCAGCTTCTAATCTGAATTTCTGCATAGACATTTCTGTGGGGCCAGGAGGTACTGATGTGTGTTCCATATAATTTACTTGAGGCCACTGTTTTGGATGAGACTATTGTATTAGGTCCAATAGGGCAGAGAAAGACAGAGGAGAGTCACCTGCAGCCAGGTACACATAATCAGAGTGATTTAAAATGGTTCAGATTTCTGAAAAACAGGATATTCACAGCAACCACTTATGGAGGGCTCAGTGCATCTGAGCCAAGGGGTCAAGGATGGCCCTCTGCTTTATTCCTTAAGGTGAATTACTCTGAAGCAACATATCCATTTAGTCCTTGCTCCTCCTTATCAGGGTAAAGCCAGTCCATCCGCCAGCTCAGCAGAACGCCCTTCTAGCTCACAGACAGAAAGTGGCCTGAGTCCTGAATCACCAAAAACAGATAGTCACATCATTAAACTCAATTTGCTGATTTCTTTTTTTTTTCTCTTTCTTTTTTGATGCAATGCACCATCAGTACCGTGGTCCATTTAACATCGGCTATTTTCTCCTGGGGACTTGGTTGTTCAGACTCAAGAAGCAGTGTTTCGAATCTAGTTAGTGTGGTTGAGTTCCTGTAATCTGGTTTTGATTCTGGGAAGCTGCCCCAGCAGTGAGCTTGGAATGACACATTTGAAACACAGGATCTCAACAAAAACAAACCTCAACACCCAGCGGTCAACCTGTCACCTGGACATCAGCTACAAAGACAAAGCAGCTGGTTGTTAACCAATGACATCTTATAATATCACTTCAAAGTTATTTTTTGTTTAGATTTTTTTATTGTAGGTCCCACGATTGTGATAGATGGCTGTCACTTTCCCGGTCTTTTTTCTTCTTTGTAAAAATGATTGCTGAAATTCCTATCTTGAGAAGATCGTTCTGACCTCTTACCATGCAATAATGGAGGCCATTTCCAGCTAATCACAACCATCACAGCCAGCTTGTCTTGTGCATGCTCATCCCTTAATAGAAACACCCTGTGCCATTTGTCCTTTGTCCCACTTACCTTGCCAACATCTCTGGGGAAGGGCTGTCTCTGGTTCTCCGGGATCAAGATGGGAGACACCACAATGGACCTCTTTTGTCTTGGGACAGGAGATGTCCTTGCAAATTTAAATATATCCTAAAAGAGAAAACAAGATTAACTGACTAAGGTCTCCCCACAGACAGAAAAGGATCAGCCTGCCCTGGGTACTTTGCTTTGTTGTGAAGGACACAGCTGTCTAGATATTGTCAATTTTACTCTATCAAATATCTTTAGAATGACCTAGTGCATACTTAGAATCACATGAAAGTTGACATCATGATTCACAATGATGATTATTAAGCCAGTTAATTCTAACTTCTGAATTATCTACTTAAAATGCCACATTGGGTTTATACACCTTTCATGCTGTATAGACTGGTCTTAATCTGCCAAACAGGTAAAAGTCACCTGGTCAGCAAGAAATTTCTGGACATAAGTGTGGCTCCCTTCATGACCAGCTAGAGAAGCAGAAGTAAACAGTAGTGAGTGACAGCTTTGTAAACACTTCAGGCCTCGTGGAGATGTAGGTGATGGTTTCCATGCCATGAGCAGGAGTGCTTTTTGGAGTGCATTCCCCAGGGAATTGCTCATATTCACTCACTGAAGGCATGCTGTCAGGAGTTCCACATCTAAAAAAATTATTGTAATTAATTCTTCGAGAATTTCATACGATGTATTTTGATCATATTCACCCCAACTCTTCCCAGATGTTCCTTCACCTCCTTAACCCCCAATTTCATGTCCTTTCTTTATAAAATTCAATATGCCATTGACTCCAATTTGAGAAGTTATACCTTTTTAATTAAAGAACTGTGTTCAACAAAGGAGACTGAATCATTATTTCACATCAAGTGCTAATGTCACATTATATTAAAAGAAGAAAACATAAAAATAAACATACTGGAGACCCACAACATTAAACTGGAGCTACAAACTGTTACCTACAGAGAGGCAAGAAGAGGAGAGGGGAGTGGGGGGGGGGCGGGCAGCACAACCTTGATCTAATTAGAGGGCTGGAGAAAAACGAGTCGCAAACAGAGCACCACTTTTAATATGTAAATCAATCTCATCAAATACCACATGCTAATTAAAAGGATCTTCTGTATCATCAGGAGTAAGCACCTCAGCCTTCATGTCATAGTGAGTTCCCATCAAGACAATGTGGTAAATAATAACGTCATGATATCATTAGCCCCTGGTCCATAACAGTGTGTGTGTGTGTGTGTGTGTGTGTGTGTGTGTGTGTGTGTGTGTGTGTGTACCTATATTTTATAGTTTTAAGAGAAAATATACATAGGAAAGTCAAACAAGAAACAAGACCAGCTAAAGTTTTTGAACACCTCCACAAGCATTCATACTCTTGATTTATCTTGGAATAGACTAATGGTCTTGTGGAGAGCCATTGGGCAATATTTGTTTATCAAGAGCCTTGCAAATATCCATAGTTCTTCCCTCTATAATTCCACCCTAGGAACACACCTGGGCACTAAGCTCAAAGAAAGAAGAAAACTTCACAGAAGAACTTAGTGAGACAGGAAACACAAGATGCAAAAGTAAAAACCAGCCCAGGGTTGAGCAGCAAGGATAAGATTCCTACATGAGCGTAGTGTGGGAAGACCCACACTTCAAGTTCCTCCACAAGATGCTAGAATAGCAATACAGCAATTGTGTGTTGGCCAACATGGAGATACTTAATGCCAGCCCTTATATTTACAAAACCCTTCCAAAAATCCATCTCTTTTTGACCAATGAAGAAAGTTTGGACAGATTATATAAAAATTACCCCCAATTAAATTTGCCTAACTAGCAGAGATAATGAATATCACAAACTATATTTCTAGAGAACATCCTGTTGTGTCCATTGTAGATTACATGACTGTGTTATAAAAGAATAATGTAAAAATATAAACTAAGGAGTCTTTGTAAAACATGGTTGATTTACTAAAATGGTATTTCTGAGCTGAGAAAATGAAGCTATAATCAGAGCACTTCACAGACCAGAATAATTATTGCAAACCTATCAAAATCTTTTTCTTTGTCATAAGTTAGTTTTCCAAGATTCCAAGAGAAAATGTAAGCTGTTATTCAATGGGGGCAGATATTCAGTTCTGTAAACCACATTCTGGAATTGGACCAGGCAGCAGCGTGAATGCCTTTCATATCACTGCCCCGTGTACTTGAAACTGCAAGGCTGATGCTAGATGGACCCAGGTCCTGTGGAAGAGCAAGCAGTGCTCTTAACCTCTGAGCATTTCTCCAGCCCCATTTACAAAAGTGGTTCAATTGGAAAAGCATTTCCCTTGCAAGCACAGAGACCTCAATTTGACCTCCAGAATACACTTTAAAATGTTGGACCAAGTGGTGTGCACTTGGAATCCCATCACTGGGAGTGGAGACAGGAGGATAACTGAGACTCTCTAGTTGGGAGATCCTGTCTCAGAGGAGTTGGGCAGCATTCATGAAGAGGATACTCAAGGTTGTTCTGTGGCCTTCACATGCACATACACACATATGCATTTACATAAAACACATACACACACACACACACACACACGCACGCACGCACGCACGCACGCACACACACACACACACACGCATAAGAATGATGATTGGTTTCTAGGAAGACAATAGTTTCCACCGGCAGGCAAAGACAGAACACTGGATTCTTTATCTTTCATCTCTCCCCTCTTTCTTCCCTCCCCCTGCGGTGTGTGTGTGTGTGTGTGTGTGTGTGTGTGTGTGTGTGTGTGTGTGTGTGTTTATGAATGATAGTGGAAAGAACTAGCAAAGAGGATAAAACCAATCAATAGGAAACTCAGCCAACCAAACAAAACAATGAACGATAACCCTAACACAACTGAATTGAAAACAAACAAGCAAACAAATAAGCTGGCAAGAAGGAAGAGAAAAGCCAGGAGACCAGGGAAGAGAGAATGGATTCTATTATATAAAACACATATATAGCATCTCCAAAGAGGCTCTTGCTTTACTGGGGGACAGCAAAAGAGTAGAACATATGTAAAATATATGATACATCCAAATCTCATTTACAGTTAAGAAAACCAACAACTTCAAGTGCCGCCCATGAGTGAATGTGTAGGACAGCCCTGTGTGGAGATTTAAGGCGCCATGCATATGTAACGGCTTGGTGATTCAGAGCTGTAATACAGCCACAGAGACCTCCGTTCATTACGACAGCGTGTGTGTAAATGTGTCCAAAGCTATGAAAAAGCACCCTGTGTCCTCAGCAACAAACTTTCCATTGTTTGTGATGAAGGGCTCACTTGTGTCTGCAAGCCTGCTGAGGGCCATGGTGTTGTTCTGGGTGTCCCTGAGCCCTGGGCCTGCTCCTGGTGTCCCATTCTTCTCAGCATACCAGTCATTAAAGACACAGTGCCTCTCACCTCTCCCAGCTCCCGAGATGTGGAGTGACAGGCACAGTAGTTTCAACCCAGATGTGAAATGCTGGAGCAAAGAAACAGAAGACTGGGCCTTGGGAAACAGACTCTGAAGGTCCCTTAGAGGCCCCTGGAGAGAGCAAATGAGCAGGGCAGTCTTCTTCCTTCTGTTCCTAGACACCTTGGCCTTCATGTCAGGTTCCTAGGCTCATGGCTCTGCCTCTGTCTCTGCCAGTTATGGGTCTGTCTAATTGTGCGTTTGTCACCAAAGAACCTCAGTGTTCATGGGCAGAAACGTCTGGGATGGGATCTGTGCTAATGCATGTGTTTGTCTAGGTTCTCTGATGCCAGGTGCTTCTGCCACCCCTTGCTTGTCCTGGAGATCATCTTGTCACAAGAGGACATAGAATTTTCTTTAAAGGTGGGGTGAGATGATGTTGGCTGGTGGGGCCCTGGGATGGCATAAAGCCAAGCAATGATTGGAAACTAAGGCATTTAGTTTTCAAGGGCTCTTGGGACCCAACAGGAGTAAATGGGTAGAAGGCTCTTCAGAGCCTCCAATGCCCGTGCTTCCTAGAAACAATGGCCAGAAACAGCATTTCCAGTAGGGAAAGCCATTGATAAGATACTTTGGTAACGTAACTGTCGATATGAAATTGGGTCAGGGGAGGGTCAGGGATGGATATGGGCGAGAGGATCATGGCCAAAGTGCATCATATACTCATGTAACAATAGCCTTATGAAACCCAGTACCACATACGATGAATAGACCACAAGTGAAGCGAAAGAATGGAAACTGAAAATATCCAGTGACTTTAGGTAGGTCAATATCCTGCTGAAATGATTTAAATATTTGCTTAGTGACCCCCTCAAAAGTGACAGTTGTGGATCTGACACATTTTGCTACATTTTAGCCAGCTAGACATGTGAGGTATCACTCACTATGGGTGACATCATCGAGTGGTAGTGGTGGGAGCTGGGAGACCCCAGTGAGATCCTTTTCCTGAGAGACCTGGTCTAGAAGAACACTTGCTGGTCTCCACTTTGGCCTCATTAGTCCAGGCATTGTCCAGGCATTCTTAGATCATTATTTAGGAAATTAATCATTTATCTATTTAGATGATCTTAATTACGGAAGGAAATATTTACTTCAATTCCCTATGTTCCTTTTATTTTAGTGTAGTAAATTAATCTACCACAATATTAAAAAAGAAATGAATGCATAAGTAAACACTCTTATATGTGTGGCTGAATAACCAAGCACCCAAGTATGAAGCACTGAGGAAGGACATTCCCAGGGTCCTAGGTCTATGATGTTTGACTTTGGTATATATATTTAGGATGGAAAAGAAGTTGTTGTGACGAAAATAGTCAATGATGTAAAGAAGTTAGAAGTTTCCCTGTGAGTGTTGGGGATTTGAGTTGGGGATTTGAGAGGCAACTCAAAAGAGTCTTTTAAAAACACAACCTGCCCCTTATTAACACTGTGTAAGCACATAGACATGACCAAGAACGAAGTTCCCAGAACCAGGGAGGCAGGGCAGGCCCAGGAGGTGTGGTTCTTGATGCTGCTGCTGACCTCGGCAGGTGCTGTCCCTCCTGGACTCTGCCCTCTTCTGTGTGGCCAATTCTATCTGTCCTTCCGCCTCCACTCTCGTCTCAAGCATCAGTTCAGGATTTTTCCTCCGGAAAAAGGGA